ATATCCATTATCGAGGGTATTATATCCGTATCCTCACACTAAACCCCGCTGAAAGAGCCTGCAAATGGTTTTATTGTCAGTTTCATATCTCATTGAAACTGCAACTTTGTTATACTGCAAATTGAAAGCCCGCATTCAAAGGACACAGGTCTCACACTTGCTCATTCAGGTCCGAAGGAGTATCTAAGCTCTCTGTTTTCTCGATTGATATCTGTCATACTTCAACCCTCACATTTGGTAGAGTATACTGAAGGTTATCGGAAGCAGTTGCATTCAGAATTTCTGCTTTCTATCCTACCAGTCTTTTTATCATTCCTAATGATCTGTCCTATTACTTTGGTCCTATCGGATAGTTTGAGTAGGGTGTACTCCCTTTGCAAGTTTTGAATACTTAGTTCCCCGGAGCTTTAGAATGTATTGCAGTCACAAGCTATTGGTTTTTTTGTTGGGACCAGCTAGTGGGATTTAAAATTCCATTTACACTAAGAATTGGCATAAGAATAAAGGAAGGCATTTAGTCTAGTTAATGGATGACGAGTGATGAAAAAATTCTGGTGGTTACCCGATGGATTCAGGCTCCATAATATACGATACTTCCGCGGTAGGACTACCTACATATAACTTGTTCATTTCAGAGTTAGAGAAGTTATCTCTGAGATTTTAAATGATACTGTGTGTGTAAACTAGGGTTGGTTGATTGTGGCTATCAGAACCTACTCTTTAGCACAAGTACGGCGAGCGTGCAGACATAAAATAAGTGGTAGCGATCTAAGAGGATTGAACCACCAGTGGCGATTCAAGTTCAGATGGCTATATAAGGAGATAACTTCTGTATATATTATATGTATTTTGCTTAGAAGTGTCTTTATTTTTATGGAGGGTTGTAGTCAGTCATTCTACTCTCCAAATACTTTCACAACCCTCCATAAAAATAAAGACACTTCTAAGCAAAATACATATAATATCTACAGAAGTTATCTCCTTATATAGCCTTCTGGACTTGAATCGCCACATGTGGTTTAATTCATCAGAATTGCCACTCGCTTAGAAACACTCAGAAACTGACGCTCGAAACCGGAGTTAATACACAAGGCATCTTCCGGACCTGCATCCAAGTAGGCGAAACGCCGTCTAGAACATGTCCCCCCTCTTTTACTTCACTCAGTAA